GCCCCCGGCCCGGGAGCGCGCCCTGCTCCGCGCCGCCCCCGGGAGCGCGCACCGCCCGCCCACGGGCGTTTCTCCGCTGCCCGCGCTGCACGGCCAGAGACGTTTGTTTGCTCCAAGCCACCCCGTTTGCTTTTGCACGGCTCCTCCCCGCGCTGTGTCCCGCACCCGCGGCAAGGCCCAGCAGCAGCCCTGTTGCTGCCGCCTGTTACCACCACGCTGCTCGGGAGATGAACCAAAATAATGCTCCAGCCCCAGACATTTGCCAACACAGAAGTGTGGCAGCAAGTGCTTAGTTTGTTATTGCAGACCAAGCAAAGCCAAATCCGTACACGGGAACACAAGCAACTTGCGTGGAGTCTGGGCCAGGTCCAGCCAGAGGACTGGATTAACCCTAGGACTGATTTCGTGTAGGTGTTGCCTACAAGTGAACCACATGTGGAGAAATGAGCTGCACACACCCTGATTCTGCTGTGCTGCCGCCTTTTCCTTGGAAATGTTTATTGTGTTAGTATCAAAATGATGATGCAGATAATGGAAACAAATGAGTGGTGTGTTCCTGGTACAGCGGAGAAGTTGGCAGGTCAATAAACCCTTCTACACTGATCATAAGTCAGTTTGATAATTACCGAGCTGCCTGTGTTGGTGCTAGGTTGTATTTAGGAATGAACAGCCAGCTGCATATACATGTTTGAAAAGCAACATCTGATTCCTTGCAAAGAAAAATACACACACGGCAAATTAGCAAAAAAAAAATCTCTGAAGCAGGAAGCCAGTGAGGCCACGTGAGCACTTGGCACGTGTGTAAGCAAACCGTGCACAGGGCTGGAACGCAAGCCTGAGCCGAGCTACTGCTTCCTGCTGGGCTGAGGAGCTTCGTGTTTCCCAGAGCACGATGCCATCACGGCCTTAGACTGAACCACCGGGAGCAGAGACGGGCTCTGGGAATGTCCCGATGCACAGAGCAATTGGGCGCTGCAGCTTGTCCCCGAGCGCACAACCACAACAGAAATGTGATGATTATACGTGAGGCTCTCACCAGCTGGCGCTGTAAATCATCTTTCTTCAAAATAGTCCTAAAAAAGTAAGCTAAAAAAAAAAATCTGAGCAAATCACCTCCTCCTGGTGCAGAAGGAAGAAACAAATGCAGTTACCAGCATCACCTTCAGTGGAACATGGCTTCGTCAGGGTTTGCACATAACTGTGTATTACGCAGCTGTGTGTAAGTCAGGATTCAGACGTAAATCTCTGGTGCTCTGTAGCCTGCAGCAGGAGTCTGCTCAAGCCAGGCTCCCTGCACAGCCCTCGGGGATTACTCGGGGAGCTGCCATCAAGCGGCTTTCCTGCAGCCCCCTCCAGCATCCGCAGAGCCCGCAGGGATCCCCAAGCAAAACCCGGCCTGCTCAGCTAAGAGTTTACCGTGGTGAAGTGATGCAGCTGCAAACCGCCCGGGGACCTCCGGCTGGCATGTCGCCAGCCCTGCTTCTTGGCCCTTCCAAGCAGAAGATTCAATTAAAGATACTGTTTAATTAAAGGTATTTAAACGTGTGTTATGTATCAGTTAGTTAAAAAAAAAATGCACAAGCCATTTAGATCTGGCAATAAATAACAGTAGATTCCTTTACTTACCCCCTTCCAAGACATCGCTGATTACCAGGATATTTTGCGAGCAAAATTGCAGACTCTGCCAACCCCCCAGCCTCAAACTGTCTGTCCTTTGCACGCTGTTCTTGCATCCAGTGCCTGCTGTGGTCAGAGGTGCTCTGCTCCTCTGTCCTCCCAAGGCCGCTCATGCAGCTCTCGGATATCAGTCCTCTCCTGGAGGGTGTCCGGCTCCGTCGGCTTTGCATTCCCGGTGCTCTCCTGGACTCTGAACACCTCACATACAGACGTATCCCTAGCATGACAAGCTCTCTTGAATTTCTTTCAAAGAATGAATTTTGATTTAAAAGACAGTAAGGATCAGATACTTTCGTGTAGCAAATAGTACTCTATCAGGCTTAAAACTCCTTCCTGTTAAATATTTAGCATAAGATCTTAGAGACTCTGCTTTGGTTTTCTGCAAGCTTAACAACAGGCCAGCACAACAGCCTCAGCAGTGCTGCCTGCTGTAGAAAAACTGTTGTAAAACATGGGGTGAAGGAATGGAAACAAGCAATTACTCTGGTAAAGCTCACCTTGCCTGGCTTTAATCTGTGAAGAATTATCCCAACACCCTGCAATGAGCGGCCACCAACTCCTACACATCCATCGAGGTGGGGAGGGGGCCTTCTGCTTCCTTACATAATTTATAGTATTTCACTTGTTCTTTAATTGCAAACCCCAGTTCCATAAAATACACAAGGAATTCTACATTCTCTATGGCAGAAATGGATTAAAATCCATCTGACCTTACTGTCTGGTAAACATTTAAGGGTTAGCTTAATAAGTACAAGTTTAAAATGTCAGTTTGAGCTGCTCAAATTGAGCTGACAGTGATGAAAGCTCCGACACAGACAGTAAATTCAGGGATCTTCCTGCCGTTTCCCGCGGACGCTGCTGCCCGTCGCCGCACGGCTTTGCTTTCCCCCCGAGCAGCGCTCGCACAGCACACACCATCGCCACGCTCTTCACGAGAGGTTTTTTCACATACTGGAAATACCACATCCCGTCTTAGTCTTCTGTTCGTTACACCACACACACGCAGGGGCTGTCTAAGCAATCCCTGCAAACCCTGCTGCCAAAACCCTGTATTCCTCTGGATGCTCATTTTGGTATTAGTTTTTGTTACTCTTTCATCATGATAGAGACATAATATTGCAAGCAGAATAGAACAGTTACCTTCTGTGCTTGAAAATCCTTTTTGAAGGATTGAAATGTACCTTCTTTGAAAATTAATCACTTCAACATTTATGCCGAACTCTATATGGGCATCAAAGCAACACGTGCCTTCAGAAATCTTACTTCCTGAGGCTCCCTCTTCTCCCCTTACTATAGTTAGGGTTGCCCTTTCCAAACTTCTGACTCCTCTTCAGGAGAGAATTCTTCATAGTTTCCTAAAACTTAATCAATGATGGTTCAACTACTGCTTATCTAACACCTTAGAATTTAGGCTGGATTTCTTCAAGAAATCAAATTTATCTGAATACTTGTGATGTTTTTCTTGCCTTATCCAAGGCTGCAGTCCTAGTCCCTTTTCTAAATTAATTGCACTAACCAGGGAACTTGTCAGTGATATCTGAACAAAAGTAGACAACAAGTGGCTCAGCCATCTCTCTGTTCATTTCTTCCTCCAAGGAAATAACTTACATTAGAAGAGACACGGCCAAGTTAAAGGTATTTTTCTGCCTTTTATTTCCCTTATTCACAATAGTTCACGTTATCTCTTACCTTTCTGATTGGGTGCAACTACCTTCACCTCATTTTATGCTGCTCTGCAGTCATTTGCCGGATTCCTGTTTTCTGTAGATGTTGCCTTCTGATTTCCAAGTCCTTTAAGAATCCCCAAGCAGCCACATCCAGTGTCCCTGTGCTCTGCGCTGGGATTGCCTGGCAGGCCTTTAGCCGGTCTCTGCTAGTCTCCTGCCAGTTTTCCATCCGTCACCTTGTTTCTGCACGTATCCTTTGTACTTGCTATTTAAATATGGTGATATTGGCATTTTCAAAGTCCTTTTTCCTTATTTTGCTGCTCTTCCCCTTTCCTTTGCTTAAAATATGCTCTCTTAATTTCATGTTCATCTAGATTAAATTTCACTTGTCATTTTTCATAAATTTTCCCCTGTCAGAGGTATTTAACACTCTAAACATTCAGGAATAAAGCAGTCACCAACACATGTGCCAAACCCCAGCAGTTTTGCATACTTTTCCAGTGGAGACCTAGACAAATAAGTCACCTGTTATTAAGAACAGTTCTGTCATTTCCCGAGTTCAAATTCTAAGTAGGTGGAAAGACTAGCATCTTTGCATGTAGTTCTTGAGTACTTATCACTTGCGTAGAAGTATCTCAGATGTTTGGCTATTTTTTCCAGCCTTCCTTCCCCTCCCTTCTTTTTGATTTCACTTTTGTTCCCCGGTGGACTCGGGGCACGTGGAGCGTGGGGCTGCCGAGGCAGCGTGTGGCTGGGAGCCACCTTGCGAGAGCGGCCGGAATGGACCAGGGCATTTCCCAGCCTGTCAGCAAACCACAGCGTCTGGAATTTCAAAACGGAAACTTCAGAACTGAAGCTCTTAAGAGCGAACATGACTCACTGTAAGCGGGACACACACCAAGACAATTGCTGGGACTTGCCACAGGATCACATTTCCACCAGGACGGGAATGTGACAATACCCACTCTGCAGTTGATGATGGGGGGTAAGAATTCAACTTGAACAAAAGCACGCATACTGTAACTACAGGCTACACGTGTCTGTATGTGTAAGCAATGGAATAAGAAACTTTCCACTTACCTATTCAAAATGGAAAAAAAAAAACACAATAAAAAACAAAAATGTATTTCCTCACACAGTGAACAGATTAGTAACAGGAAAAGCTGGCATGTTTCCAGAAATTAAATAGCCCCTTTGTTTATAGAGCTATTCATGGGGACGCTGCAATGATGGTTTGAGCCACGCGGGTGCAGACGGGCTTCGTGCTCCGGGTGGCAAAGCCGCCCTGCAGCAGCATCCCGCTCCGGAGCGCCCGGCGCCCCTGCCTCTCCGGCCGGGGCACGGCCAGAATCCCACCGGCCTCGAGACGCAGAGCAGCTGACGCAAAAATAAGGTCTTCCTCCTGTGAAATAACAGGGTCCTTTAATTAAAAACAAAACTTTATTTTAATTATATCATACTACTGTGCAAAAATATGGGGGATTTTTCTTTCTGAAATGTTTACAAAAAACAGGTCAAAAGAAGGTTGCAATCTTATGAATGCGTAATTACCATCAGTGAAGTTGTATGAGGCAATTATAGAAACCTGTTATGCTTTTCCTCTATATGTACACAAGAATTATGCTTTGGATATGGTCATAATATATAGCACATTGGAGAGAATGTCTATGGACTGCCACTGTCAACATTCTTTATTTTATTTAGCTCAGACCTTAAAGCATTTCTTTTAAATATCTATCTCAGAGTATATAAAATTTCAAATTTCATTTGAACAGTTAATTTTCTAACTTTGACTTTAAGGCACATGTTTCTGTCCAGATTTTATTTTGGTCCAGAGGAGCTACTGCATTTCAGGCCCCAGCTAGCCGGGTATGTGGGAGCTGGGTCTGCTCTGCCTGTCCCCGGTGTGTCCATGGACCTCAACGACGTGCAGGGAACTCGCGGCGCCGGGTCCCGGCCCGGCTCGTGCCGCAGGGGCCCCGCTGCCCACGTGCGGCCCGGGCAGGCGGGCGCTGTCCTTGCTGCATCCCGGGGCTGCCGTGTCCCGCGTCCACTCCTCCTGCAACCTGCAAGCGGGAAGGAAGGAGTTACTCGAGTTTCATCTGCTATGCTGGGGAAGCCCATGGGGTAACGCAGAAAATAAAACGCAGTTACTACATAATTGCCATTCTGGTTCAGAGCAGACACCCTGCAGAAACACCCTTCCTGTAAAGGAGAATAAATCTTGCCCTTCTCTGGCAAGCTGCAGTACAAAGCTATTTTGGGCACAGGCTACAGTCACGTAGTGTAAAGGCCTCTTAAACCACTATTACTTTGCACGTGGATGCCCTGCTGCCACCAGGTCATGCTCATTACAGCCGCATGCCACTGAGCAAGATTTACCCACCTGAACATGGGCAGCACGATGCTCATCCATTTCTCCTCTGAAACAGCCTGATAACTTCATCCATTTCACGTGGAATGCCCATGGTGCAGGAAATGTGTTGTGTAACCACCATGCACCGACAAACCCTTGGGTGTCTCTGTGCCGCACCAGGACACCCACCTCGGTACCCTATGGCTGCTCATCTACTGTCAGAGAATAGAAGCTCTTGCATTAGTGCAGTCAACTGCAGCCAAAACAAAATTTCCTGACAGAGCTGCAGCTGTGCACATGTTTTCTTAGCACCAATAAGTCAATTTAGTGTTCTTGAAATGCAGACCAAAGTTGCAAACTGAAAACCAATTTAAAAGAGCATGCACAGGTGGACGAATCAGAAGAAAGGAAGATCTCTGCAAAATACACCTGGGTTAGCACGGGGTAGCCACTTGCCTTGCAAATAGCCCTGCTAGAAGTACTTCAAATCTCATTAATTTTGTGCAATAAGTACAATTTGCTGCTGCAGCCCATATAACCGATCACATTCTGATTTTCTCTTCTACCATGTCTCTGCCCCACAAAACTCCCCATTACCACTGCTCACCACCACGTTAGGAACCCAAAATCATCTAACACTGCAGTTAGAGGACAACTCTGCTCCTAGCTAAGTGGCATCCTCCTTTGGTTTCATTGTCGAGTTTCTGTTCACTTAAATAAGTGCAGGATGTGGTGACAACAGTCACTGCCTGCCAACTGCTGTTTTCAGATGCAGCGCGCAGACACATGGGATTTAACTGCTTCTTCTGGGGGAGGTCTTCCTCAAATTAAAGGCAAAGGAGATCAACAAGAAAGATGTTGCATGCACAAAAACCTGCAAACATCAAAAGATCAGTGCATTCAACAGGGCTCCACCTAAGCAAGGGCTGAAAACTGCTAATCAGAGAGCTGCAGAGCTGACAGGAGACACGTGTGCATGTGATGGGCTCTCTTCAATGCACCGCTGTCCGCCAAACACCGGCTTCAGGTGGTGCTTTCATCCTTAGGAACCTTCTCCACAAAAGTGCAGAACAAGCAAGACTTCTTTCAAGAGCTTTAACTTTCCTGAACTCCATTCTTAGCTAGACTATTTCAAAATATTAAATTGAGAAGGTCAGAAGACCTCCATCTACTTTTCCTTGGAACTGCAGAAGCATCCAGAGGTGCTAGATGCTGAGCATCTCATGTAGACCCATGAGACAGCATTTGACGAGGGCAGAAGCAGATGGTTCCTATACTGAAATTCAGCTTTTGGTGTGGTTGGGTCTGCTCTCCTTCTTGGTTCTCTTTCCATTTCTATCACACAGGTTAACAGGAAACCTGCCCAGGATCTCCTGGACAACCTAGGCAAGTGCAGCGTAACAACTACAGCCTTCTGAGACAACGCACCGCGGGAACACGCGTTCCAAACATCCTGGGAGACTTGGGAGAGGTGGCGGGAGGAAAGCAGAGGAATAACGAGCTAGTGCAAAATGACTCTCCATGGAGAAGCTCAGGCTGGCGGGGTGCAGCGGGACACGCAGAGATGCAGCCATGTGTCATCTCCCCTCTTGCCCCTGCTTCTGGAGGCCGGCTGGGCCCCAGCCACACTCCCCAGCCAGCCCAAGCAGACGTGGACATCGCCTAGAGCTCCATGAGTTTCTGATTTGCGCCTCCCCTGCAGCCCCGCACATAAGGTAATGGAAAACATCAACCATCACAGCCACTAAATGGAAGAGCAAGAGAGAACACATTTGGTTTTACTGCAGAGGCCAAAGTTATGAGCTAATTTCGGCAGCTTTACTTCTGGCTTCTAAAACCACCTCAAAAAGCTGAGCAGCCTCTCCTAGGAGCACGCTGGCTTCTGTACAATATCTTCTCCCTTGGACACCTCTGTTGTTGGATTTTCCTCACATGCTTTTCGCCAGGTGCACTGGTAATGCGCCTTGTAGTCTGAAAGGGCTCCAGCACAAAAATTTCAGGCACTAAAAATATCTTCTGTGGGAATATACCAGCCAGCTCCTCTGCAGAAGAGATCTTCCTCTCTTGGTAATACGCCCCAGCTGCCGTGGATGTCTTACAGGAGTGCGTAGACCTGCTGAAACTCGGGCTTTTCCACTTTATAGCTTGGCCCAGAGCACTGTGAAATAGCTCACTTCAAAACACTCCAAATTTGGAGCGTGCCACTTCCCCCAAATGGCTTCACACCAGCAAAGGTGTTCACCAGATTTCTCTGCCGCCCTTCAGATGTGTGTTTGAGCTGGACCGCTTTCTTCCTGGCTCTCATTAGGTGTCAGGGGATGAAGAAGAGCGGCTTCACAGCTGCCTTCAGCCTCCCTGAGCGCCCGTCTCGCTCAGCTACGTGACACTGAGCCGCGGCTAATCTGCTCCACCGAGGGGACAGACCCTTTTCTCAGCTAATCTGCCCCAAACCCCTGCATTTCCCAAGTGCTGCTATCTCTGCCCTGAGTGCTGCAGCTCCTGCACGAAAATGCTGCTGCAGAAAATGGGTGTTTTTAAGCTCCGTACAGTTCCTTGCTTCCAAAAAGGAAGAGATGGCATCAACTGTGACTTCATGTTGTAGGCAACTGACCCCAGGTATTTGAGGACGCAGTTTTCATCATTTTGAAGGAACTTGTTCATACACGAGATGCCAGAACAGGGTTCACTACAAGTGCACTTGTCATTCAAATTCCTCATTTGCTAGCAAAACTATACACTGCACATGTTTGTTCTGTGCTTGAAATGCCAGAGGGAAAAAGACCTTACTTCATGGCAGACAGGTCTAGAACAGCAGCAGAGCCTCTATTGCCCAACATTACTGATAACTTTTATCCATTAGGACTGATTATCCATCAGCAAATGAAGGTATCACTTGAACAGATGACAGCTTTTTAATCCTCCATAAGCTACTCCATAAACCATAACAAACCTGCCTGAAAGAACTGGCTTTTTATTCTATTTGTTCTTAAAGCATCTTTGATCCTTAAAGAGGGCAAATCCAAGCACAGCGTAGTTAATCTCTAAACCTATTTCAACTAAGACTGAAAAGCAGCAAGACCTACATCCTTTCTGGTGCAGACCAGGCTAAGATTCATGCACAAGGGTCCTCCTGAAGGGAGGAAGAATCCCCATTTCCCCAGGCACTCTGTGTTCTCCACAAGGAGCAGCAGAATTGCTCTCCTTAAGGGAAAGAAATGCTATCTCTCCTCTCAGATATTGGCACAACTCAGCTATCAGGTTTCTTAGTACAGTTCCTTGGAAGGAAAATAAAATTGGATCTTTGATTTACCATTGTTCTTGCAGTACATTCACAAAGTCCTCCAAATATGTGAAGCATTAATGCAATCCTTGGTTAAACTACCTTTCACCTCCTCCGTGACCACGCAGGCACACTTCGGCGAGATTTATGTTAGCATAATTTCCGCCTCTCACTCGGTGCATAGAGCCACTTAACAGCAATGAACAGTAGAAATGAGCAGTGCTTGCTGACCTTTATTAAATTGATCTTATTTGAGTGAAGAAAGAGGATGTGCTACAATCTGGTAAAGGGTCAAGCTTTTTCCTAGAGCAATCCCAAGGGAGAGTTTTGTCCAGCACCTGCAACTCCTGCAATTCCTGCCCTGGCTTGGGAGCAGCCGTTCTCTGCGTGAGCAGCGGCTACACTTCAGGCTCTGGCATGGACGTGCTAATATACTCGCTCTTCGAGATGATTTGTCTCTAGCTAGTGATCAGCAGGGATCATAGGACCTCTGCAACAGGGAAATAAAGTGGAGCTTGATCAGCTGCGGAGCTTGGGCACCAGAGGTGGGTTTGCGGATGGGAACTGAACACTGTGGGTGCCGAAGAAACAAATTTCTCCGAGGCCTCACTGCTCTCGATCCCTTGGTTTCCCCACTGCAGTTTCCCCAGGCCTCACCAGTCTAGAGAAATAATGAACTTGTTGACTTCTGGCTGCAGCGAAGCTGCTTATCCCCATGAATCCTATATTCCCTGCTCCTTTCAGTTAAGGAAGAAAGCGCAGATCTTGGTAAACACAACCCAGCGGCTTCTGCTCGGTGGAGCAGGGCAGATAAGAGCTGCACGAGAACCGGAGGCTCCGGCAGAGCCCCCAGCAATAGGCAGAGCCCTCCTTGTGCCTTGATGCACATCATTTGAAAGCAGATGACACTTCTACCAAACACCAACACCTTGGCAGACTGACACTGCTCAAAATTACAAGCTGGATCCTATGTCTTCTGAAAACCCATCTAGGACACGGTCACCATGTAATTAGCTTTATATGTCTTCCTGAAATCACCCAAAGCCAAGAGCTGATTAAACAGGCACCAGACTCTCACATAAGGGCTCCATTTGAAAACCACTTCCAGCAGCGCTCTGACACTGAAGCAGCTTTACAACCTGCAAAAAATTGCTTTCTGCAGGTAACCACTACAAATCAACACGCTGCTGTACACAAAAGCTGCACAAGTGAGTGGTGAATTAAAAGTAAACAAGATGGTGCCATATATTACTGTATACAACGGCCGAGCAGTACCCAAAGGATGGCAAAGATGAAGTGACAGGTAATTAAGTGGATAGCAGTGGCAACATGGCCATCAGTATTTGACACGTTCTGCAGAACGCTTCCTACTTTTCTTTTGCTGACAGCAGCGCAGTCAGTGCAGCACGTCAGCCCCACACAGAGGGTACCTTGAACAGGCACAGAAACCACTGTGCCCCCCGCACACGTGTCTGTGCAGCCACTTTCTAATGCCTGTTCCACCAATCCCTTCAAAACTGCTGTATTTTCATAACTTTACCTGTAGAAGCCTTGGTTGTCATAGGCCATGCTAGTCACATCCTCAAACGTTGATTTATTCCTGAGTTTTTTGTTGTTGTTGTTATTATTCCTTCCTTTATAACCAAAGTAAGCAGCTTGCATGTTCTCCAGTTCTTCACTTCTGAGCTGGTACCAGAGCTGCATCTCTCTGTGAATCAAGCAGAGGGTAAAATACATTACTGTGATAAACAGCTGTATATTTGAGCTTTTATCTCGCCATAGCCCTGCTTCAGTTAAGCTTGAATTTAAATGTAAATCCATCTCTATTGAGGACAGCATCCGAATACATGCTGAATTTCAAGTGTAAGCCAAATTTCTGGAGACTTAAATAAGTGCTGTCCTTAAGGGGGACAGCTTTTTAAAGCACTTGCTGCCGGGTGGGATGAGCCTGGAGCTGGAGGCATCGGCCCTGTTCCAAAGCCCATCCCGGCAGAGGGAAGGAGGCTGCAGGCAGCAGCGCACTGGGAAGAGGGGCAGGCGCCAGGGAGAGCACAAGGTGCAGATCCCCAGTGCAAAGGGTTTTTTTGTTTTTTTAATGAAAAAGTCATGCAAAGTGCTAATGCTCACAAAATTTCTTTTCAAATTAATGAAAAACAAGGACTTTGATATGAATAGTCTTATCAACCAGAAAAGCAGCAATTTAAAAACGTCAATCAGCATTTTCACTTCAAATATTATTTCACGCTAGCAGTGAAGACCTAACATCGTGAATGACACCAAAGTCCTTTTTTGCTTCACAGAATCTTTTCAAAGGGAAATGGAAAAATCATATTTTTGCTCCAATCAGATTTGGAAATTGCAGAATATCCCCCCAGAGAGGATGCCTGGTTGCTCCGTGGCTGCAGATAACAGAGCACAGAGAGCTCGGGCGCCTCTTCACGCCTCCTCTCCTCCGCACTGCCCTGCCTGCTTTCAAACACCTCTCTAAAGCATCACCATTAGCATGCAGATTACATACACAACTTTGACCATATACATTTATAATAAAAAAGACCTTTTCTGGACATACCTTTCAGTTCTCCTTCTTTCACTTTTCTTCACACACTTGATGAGACAACAAGTTAGAAAAGCCATAGACATCAGCAGAATGATGGCACAGCTCACTATGGAGGCAATCACTGCTACCTTGAATCCAAAAGTCTCGTATTTTGATACAGCTGCAGCAAGGCAAACACAGAAGCAGGTTTCTAAGTGAACACATTAATATCTCATCCACATTTCCATTACATTTCCATGCTTAAGCCTACCTACTTCCCATTTCTACTAATTATAACCCTATGAAGACTTTCTTGATAGGATGTGCTAAGTTGTTAGAGTGCCTAGGTTTCAACATAAAGCTAGGCAGCCTCAAATTGGGCTATTTAAAAACTACCTCTTCACAAGTTATTAATGAATTGTTCACAAGTGTTTTATCATTGCAATTAAATAAATACCATGCCAGGCACACTGCACTAGCTAAACCCACAGCTTTGTCAGTATATCAAGTGCAGGTGAGGTAACAGACTCTCTTACCCAGGTGTTGACAAGAGGAGGAGCTGGAAAACCAAATACTGAAGGGGCTAAAAGGTTTAAAGAAGCCCTTTATGGCACAGACAGCTCAATATAATTAATTCCTACTGGGCAGGTAGTGAACCATTTCTTTTCTCTTTTTCAGAAGGAGGAAGGGGAGAGACAGTGTCTGCAGAGCTGACTGTTCAATGATACTAAGTTGGAAATAAATTATCCATAAAAAAAAAGGAGCAATGGGAACGTGAGGTGGCAGCGCTAGCACAGGTCCCTGCCAGCTCATTTTCAGTACTAAACACATCTTGCTTCAAAAACTCGTCAGCTTCTTCCAGCCATACGAACACCAGCACCAGAAATGGTTCTGCTGAGCCCACGGAAAGCTTTACATCTCTCCAGCCTCTCCAAGGGGGAATTTCTCTCATTCCTTTTCTTTAATGGAATCTCTTAAATCAGAGGTAAGTAGAACTGACTTGGGAAGGAATAGTAAGTGTCTAAAATGGCTATCCAGCTACCAAATGGTTTCAAATTATACACGGTCTGAGAACCAGAGCGAGCTCCACAGTTTCAAACGTGCTGAAGCCCAGAGGTACCGTGCATCAGAATTGTGCTCGGGCTGACTTCCTGCCAAATTACTAACAATCATGTAATAAATAAGAGGGAACAGCATGGAAGGTAGTTAATGTTGTTGCTGTTCAAATGCAATTTGTCAGCATGATAACTTTTCCATGCAGCTGACCACAGGCAACCACCTAATAGCCCTTCTTAAATACTTCTGTGCTCTTTTACAGCAAAATTGCCAGCGAGTTTCCAAATATATTTACAAATCAGTTGGTTGCACCTATATATTTGCCAGAAAACAGTGCATCTTGTAGCTGGAGGGCCGCATATATCCTGGGCGCAGCACTACCAGAGGCATGGTGGGAGATCAGACATAAATCTGGTCGAGTCTTTCCTGTGTCCCGATAACTAATGGTGCCAGGACACATATGGAGAGCAATTACAGCTGAGGGGCAGCTCTGGCAGAAATGAATTTGTGTTGCTCCTCACACAGATAGATGCCTGGAATTAACCCTCGGGGTGCAGGGATGCCCGGGGCACCGTTGGTACCGTACGGCCCGGTGGCAGGGCCTTGGGCAGATGCTTACGCTTGCATGCGGGCACTCCGGCGGTCCACTGCGTAGCGTTCCCCTTCCACACGCAGCTGATGACGGCCTGCCCCTCCAGCTGGTGCTCGGCGGAGCACTGGAAGGTTATCACGGTCCCCAGGGCCGTGCCGTTGCCGTGGATCACCTGCAGCGAGCCGAGGCGGGGAGGGAGCACGCGGCCGCACTGCCCTGCGGAACAGAAACGGAGCGGGATGGAGCAGCGTGGCCGGAGCGTCGCTTATGCTGCTTCGTTGTGTGTCTTACATGAGCACGAGCAAACAGCTCTGCATGGGCAATGCCCACTACCCCGCCAAGCACCAGCCTGGGGCCAAAGCACCTCCAGCGCCACCAGCAGCCCCAGTGCTCCAACCCACGGCACCACGGGGGAACTCATCTTGAGGCATTAACTACTTAAACTGTTGAATATTAAAAGTCTTTAAAAAAATCATTCTCTGAGCAGCTTGATCTTCAATGGAATCCCATCTTGTTGGGCTCCATGTGTTTAATTAAATGCTAAAATGGGAGCTTTCACACACTGCAAGTGCTCATAACACATCTGCTCCGGTGCAAGCTCTCCAGGACCCGAGAGATGCGCCTCACAGCGCAGCGTTTCAGGATGTATATTTTGGCGCTGCATTGTCATGACCCTACAGAAACTTCCTACCTTCCTAGAGTGCTATACAGCTGTCCATCAGCCAACAGGTCCAAAAGCTGTGATAAGGGCAGGGGACAAAAAATGGGAGAGAGAGGGAGAACAACACCCATGCAGCACAGTCGCATCCAACTCATCTCTGTGTTCAGGTTACAATACAGTATATTATCCATTTGTGGCACCTTCGCTCATTTTGCTTTTCTCTTCTTATTGAGCAGTCACAATAACCTTTGCTTCATACTCATTTTAAGCATGAATATTAATGAACAATCATTAGGACAATATATAACATGCACTTATGCTTCACAGACAACAAAAACAAGTGCATTTTTCTGTTCTCGCACATAGGCACTGACAGAATCTGGGAACTATTTTACCTATATATAGTTGACATTTACTAAATATCAGCATTTCTCCTGCCTCAGAGGTCAAGCTCCCTGTTTTTCAGCTGACTCCGGCAGGGCCCCCTTAGAGGTGGTGACTGATTTGCAGCTGTGAGCCTGGGTTTGCAAGCCCCATGATAAAACACACAAAAATGAAGGAGGAAAACAAGGCTTCCTGCACTTACCAACAAAAAGAAATTCACAGCTTTAATTGCCTCCATGAGAACATTGGACAGAATTACATACTATCCATATGAACTGTTTTCTTTTTACTAACAAAAAATTCTCCTGTCATTAATTAATTTTGAGCTTTTGAGCTCAAACAACAGAGGACAGGCGTACTACCTGGCTGCAATTTCTGCTCTAAAAAAACAACCCCATTTAAAACAACACAAAGGGAAAATAGAAAAAGACCAAGCAAAAGCCACAGTGACAATTACCAGTCTATTCTACTAGGTAAATATGTACCAATAACTAGCTTTAAAAAATGCCTTTTTTAATTTCATGCCAATTATTTCTGTCACTTCTTTCAGTCTAATACCATGACAGTTGCTTCAAGAAGAGCAAATATTTTCCAGATGGTCATTTCCCTTGATTCCCTGTCCTTTCCTCCAACATCTGATGACTAGAACACAGTGAATATACGAATTGGACAACCTTCCTCCCCACTTCAGATGAATACCAGGAGTTTGAGCTTTTCTGTTTACCGTGCTTGTACATTCAAAGACTTTCTGTGAAAAGCCATTTTTCTAGCTGCAGAATATCCACCTTTTTGCATTTTACACATTCAAGGGTACTTTTAGCTATCAGATCACACACTTTGAGTTCATGCCGGTGACACTTCTGGCAGTGCGAGACGCAGGAAGCAATTCAGAGCAGACTGTGGTTCATGGGCATCGGCTTGGCCGGGCGCACAGCCCTTGTTAGACCGGGCAGTGGCATTGCCAGCTGACCCGCAATCCCTACTGAGCCTCCACTCTCCAAAGAGTGGGTAATTGGGCACTGGATTCTTTCTCTTGAGATACACTCCATTTAATCCAGTGTTGACCTTTCCCAAGTAATATATGCAGCTGTAGCTGGTTCAGACACGCTTTGCCCTTTCCTGCTTCATCCTTGCCATAATGATATACGTAGAGTAATTAAAGCACTTGAATGTCAGCGACCTTGTCAGCATTCTTCCTCAGTCGTAGATCTTAAAATATTTTCATCACCTGAGTGTTTACAAAGATTCCTAATAGCTTCTCCTGAGCCAGTATCCCATTAAACTATGGATATTTCCCTGGTTTATAATAGCGTTATGTCATCTCCCGCATGGAATGGAATTGGGGCAGGAACTTCAGCTTTCAAAAGCTTCTCCACCTGGCTCTGTGCAGATAGAAAATTCATCAGCTGCATTTCATACATCTACATTTGGCCAGAATAGAAATAGCTTTTCTTCTTCTTCCTAGAGCTTTTCAACACAAACTATCCCTCCTCCCAAAGCCAAAAAATTAGATGCCTCACTGCTTTTTCCTTTTATAGGAGATTTTATTGAAATGCATAAATGGCCTTATGCCAGGATGAGTTTGTGAATTTTATCCAGGTTCAGATTTAAATTTCTGGATCAGATATGCCCTGATTTTCCTCAGTAACGGTCTTCTAATAATTCATTTATAAATCTTTCCTGTGAAGGCTCTAGCAGCCTGTGCTGCTAACGCCTATAATCTTTTTGCAATCAATTGTTGCATTTACTTTCTTCCTATGTTAGTTTTACCTTTCCAACTTCAGAAAAGGATTGTTTAGGTATGTTTCCATCCTTGTATTTATATAAGCAGCTTTCTATATAGATTTATCCTTTGAATACTTTCTGGATATGCTTATTTGACTACGTCTCTTATAATCAGGGAATTTTGTTTTCAGGGGATGCCAGTGTTGAAGCTGCATCATTTCCTGCAGTAAACTGCAAATAACGCATAGGCATTTGTGCTGGCCAGATTTACACCTTGAGCTGTATTTATTTTCTGTGCATCTAGAGGTGTTCAGGTCTTGGCTTGCTGTACATATTAGCACCCAAAAATGTAATGCTGAATAAAGCATTTTAGCCCTTAGCAGCATCCACGCAGCCTTCTAGCTGTCCTGCACACCCCACGCTCACGCTTGCAAGCAGCACCCCAAGGCGGGCACAAGGTGCAAGCAACAAACGGGCTGTGTCTGCTAAGCAGGCTAGGGCAAGTATCAAAATTCATGACGGGTTGTTTAGTTTTGAGCGGGTTTGTGTCATCACTCCTAGACTTGATCTGTGTCTCCATAACCTCATTCCCATCACCTCGAAGCTTTGCTTGTGAGCACCAGGCCCACAAGCTGCTCGCACTTTTGAATATTGGATAACGGCTCAGATGAGGACAAAAACTCACTTGCTGATGCATCTTCAGGGAAGAAAAGGCTGGAAATCACTTCTTAAATAATCTCTTAGCTGGGGTCACCCTAAGAGGATACTCATACTCAAGTGTTTGGATCTGACGCTATTTCCTGGCAACCCAGAAGGGCTCTGCCCACGGCAAGGAAGCAGATGCCCCCGCCATGACGAGCAGCCCCCAGGAAGCCTCTGCAGTGCAGTGTTATCCACACCAGCCACGAGGTAAACACACAACACTCAGGTGCTGGAAAACAAAGAGTAATGCAAGAACTGAGGAAAAATAATCCAAAATATCTCTTCTCATGCACAGCCAGGATTATCTGTGCTGGCAAATTGATTTGTTGAAGGAGTTACTATATGATTTTGTTGTCAGCAAGCTGGGGATTTATGTTTTGCTGATAAGAAGGCAGAAATGAAAGATTCATCTAAGGATGCCTTTGCCTGTCCAAAAATTTCTTGTGCTCCTTCCCACTCCCCATGCCAGGAAATAGGAAACAAGCATCTAATACACTGCAAAAGCACATGCTGGGATGCTCTATATTCAGCCATATCTGCCTCTCACCACGACTGCCCCTCACTGCTCACTTGGAAACAGAGCCTACAACCGGCCTCTTCATCCCCATCCACGTGGGCTGATCGCTGACTTCAATGCAGCAACAGCCAGACGCCAGAGACGGACAGAACATCAGGTTCTGCAAACCCCGAGGGCACCGAGCACGCTGCTCATGGCGTTTCTGCAAGAAGCCCAAAAGGCGAAACAGCATCCCTGTCCTCCCGGCAGAAGCCCAGCCCCACAGCATTTTTAAAACAAATAAACAAAACAAACAATCAGGAAAAAAAAAAAAAAAACACCAAACACCCTTCTACTACTAACAAGAATTTCTAAGCAGGGCAAGAAGGGGATTTGAAGCACACTTCCTCTTTCTGTATTCACTTACACACTGATGCCCAGGTGACCTCTGCTCACACCTCCATAAGGAACAAAGCCTTAGGCCTCTCTTGCTCCTCACTATAGCTAGCTCTGTTTCTGTTGACCGTTTGGCAAACAAAACGGATTTTTTTCAGTACACCATTTGCAACACAACTTGGCCTCCACCTCCACATCAAACCCCGCAATGCACCACGGCCAAACCTCCTGCCTGCACAGTCCGGACCCTGGGGAGCGCAGATCCAGACCCACAATGCACAGGTCTGCATCATCTCTGCTCACAATGCTCAGCCTTTCTGCTCTCCCCCTGAGCATTTTTGGGGGGCTTTTGAGTTGTTCAGAGCAGTAAACAAGTTGTAATGAGATTTAGGAGTCAGCGGGAAACACGTCCCAGCTCTGCTCTGAAATGCTCCCTCTCTGCAAGGGCTGAAAGCAATTTTAATCCATGCAAAACCCAAGCTGCATATCACCAAAACGCTAGATTAAGGTTTGGCCTGCAACATTTGCAATGCTCTCCTACTTCAAGCACAAATAACATGTAGGATCGGTGTAAAGTGATTCTTATTCAGGAATTTTATGTTATTCTTTAAAGAGAGGATTTGTTCCAGTCGCTGTACAGCCAGCTCTGTGATTGATTTTTTTTTGCCAATTTACATCAAAGTCAAGTTATTTTCATCTGTAGATTCTACTCTTGGACCTAGCAGTAAGGGCAATACTGACTACTTTTCTCCTTATGGAAACAATTGAGAATTAAGAACTAAATGAAAAATGAAGTATTTGATGAAGTCCCCAGTAAAGCAAGAACAGATGGTTATTCTGCGTTTTATTAGGCTGTTTACCAACAGAACTGGAAAAGTACATTAGGACACTTCTCAAAAG